GGATGGATGGATGGATGAGTCTATTTCCTAAGTTGCAAATGAACATAATAAAATTTACATTATTTTATTAAAATCTTGCAAGGTATGTAAAGAATCTAGCAAAGCGTCTACTTTCTTTCATGTATATTTAATTTGGCGCCCCCTAGTGATCTCCAATAGTAGAGAATCAATAAAATAATAGCTGTTTATGTTTTTAAAAAACATATCCTTGGCGGGGCACTGTGGCACATACTTGTAATCCTAGTATCTCAAGAGGCTGAGGCAGGAGAATCACAAGTTCAAAACTAGCCTTGGCAATTGAGCCATGCCCCAAGCAACTTAATGAGACTTGTCTCAAAATAAAAAATAAAAAAGGGTTGGGGATGTGGCTCAGTGGTTGAGAATCCCTGGGTTTAATCCCTAGTACCCTCCTGCCCTGGCAAAAAAAATCATCATTCTTTCTTTGGTACCTCATATTCATATGTATTATAATATAGATTATAATATAATTTGCATGTGTTCAGGATTGCCTTAGAGGCCTTTTCCTCTTTTGTACCTACTTCATAGGTTCTTATGATTAAATGGGATAATAAAGGTAAATTATTTGAAAATGTGATCAACACATAGGCAAAACTCAATAAATGTTGATAAGTTATTATATTTTTTACTTGTTTAAATGGTACCTCATGCCTAATGCCCAATAAAATAAAAAATATATATATGACAAATAGATTTTTTTGTTTGTTTTTGTACCAGGGATTGAACTCAGGGGCATTCGACTACACTAAGCCACATCCCCAGCCCTACTTTGTATTTTATTTAGAGACAGAATCTCACTGAGTTGCTTAGCACCTCACCGTTGCTGAGGCAGGCTTTGAACATGAGATCCTCTTGCCTGATCCTCCTGCCTCAGCCTTCAGAGCAGCTGGGATTACAGGCCTACTCAAATGCTTTTTTTAAATATTTTTTTTAGTTGTAGATGAACACACAGTATCTTTACTTATTTTTATGTGGTGCTGAGGATCAAACCCAATGCCTCACACATTCGAGACAAGTGCTTTACCACTGAGCTACAACCCCAGCTTCAAATGTTTTTTTTTTTAAATATTTTTTTTTAGTTGTAGATGGACACAATATCTTTATTTTTTTATTTATTTTAAGAGAGAAAGAGAGAATTTTTTTTAATATTTATTTTTTAGTTTTTGGCAGACACAACATCTTTATTTTATTTTTATGTGTTGCTGAGGATCAAACCCAAGGCCCCACACACATGAGGCAAGCAAGTGCTCTACCACCGAGCTACAACCCCCACTTCAATTGCTTTTTGATATAAACCAAACTAATATAACTGCAGGAAGACTAATTATGATACTAATTTGAAAGAGTTCGACTAAAATGATACTTCTCAGTTCTCTAATGGCTATTATAGTACCTAATGAAAAATCTCACTTGTATTCAACCCCAAACTATCTTCCAATTTCTTAAAAAATAAAAAAAAGGTAACAAAACAACAACAAAAAAACCAAGCCTTGCCACCTCTACCTCCTTTTGAAAAATAGAGAGATATTAGTGCTAATCCTTAATAGAGTAGAAATTAGAATTATAAAAAGAAAGAAGAAAGCTTTTCTTCCTTTTTCTGCTCTATTTATTAGTTCTTTTTTTAAATGTTTTTGTTAGTTGCAAATGGACATATTACCTTTATTTTTTATGTGCTGCTGAGTATTGAACCCAGTGCCTCACACGTGTACAACCTTAGTCCCTATTTATTAGCTCTTTAACAAATGTTAAGATTAGAATGTTTTAAAGGTATAATAAAGACCCAATTTAACTACAAATTAGATGTCAATTAGATTTTCCTTATCATAAAATCTGATACAGTATTTTCTTGTTAAACCATTCATTTTAAATCTTAACATTTAGGTATACTTTTCAGGCTTTTAAATGATCATTCTGTCTGAAAATACATCAAAGTAAAATCTCAGTATTTATTTGGAATGGCTCTCTTTAGAAAACAGGTTGCTGTAAATATTTACTTTTATAAAACCTGAGTCAAACTGGCCAGCTCTAAATATCAGATTCTATAATCAAGTGATTAGCCAGAGAAACAGAATTCTCTAGACACACATGTTGATTTAAGAAGTGATTTCAGAAACCAGTACAATTTCTGTCAACAAACAGGATAGTATTCAGATGAAATAATTTAAAATGTATCACTTACTTTTGCAAATAATTCCTGTTGCTGTCTTAATAACTCTTCTTCAGGAATGCCAAGGTTTTCCAAACGAGAACTGGCCTTTCTTCTTTTTAACGCTACTGTCTTGCATTCTTGTAGGACTTCCTTTACTTCACTAATGTAAGAGCCAAATCCCAAACTTTCTAGAGCTAGAAAAATAAAAATGTGAACGTGATTAAAACATAGCTTTTTTTCCCCACCTATAGAACATGAAGTTTTTCTGTGTGTTTTCTGCCATAAAATTTCCTTTTGGTTCACAGTATTTAAAATTACATTTATAGATTTCTATATGGTGATTCATACCTTAAAGGCCTATTCTGTATTTTGAGCCAATAATAAAATTTAGGTGGCTAAAAAAAAGTAGAATAAATCAATTTAGTTAATCAGTTTTTGTAGTCTTTCAACAATTATGAACCAGAATGTCCTTGGTAAAGATAACCTCAATTCTAACTTCAGGGACTTGCTCTTCAGGGGAAATAACAAATGTGCCCTTACAAATCTATTTTCCTATATAAACTGGTTTTAAAGACATGATTTGCAACTTCATTTCAAATGTTAAATTGTTTTCATCAAGCTTCTGTGAAAAAAAATCTTTTGATATGAAAAAGCAAATTACTACTGTTAATTATAATTAATTAACCCTTTCCCTATCTCCCACCCTCTTCCATCCCCAACCCCCATGAAACTTCAGAAAGGCATCATTCTGAGTTCTCTTACATCATATCATCACCACATAATTTTTGGTTTCAAAGAGCGTGGGATACAGTAGAAAAATAAGTGAGACTAAGCAGCCTAAGTGTTTTCACTTGAATTAATAAACTTTTTTGAAGTGTCAATATAGAAACCAAAACTTTTTTGTCTTTTCTTTTTTGAATGACATAAACAGTCAAGTATTTCAATAATTAGCCTGGGACAGTAACAAAGAAAACCAAGTGAATGGCTTATGGTTTCCCACCATATTCATGAAAGTCTGATTTCCTTAACCCTCTACTAACTAAGGTCTTCCAGGATCTAGCCCCCCATATCATGCCATTAAATCTCTGCATACTTCTGCTAAATTCCAACAGGAACCAGAGTTTCCCACATTCCCTGATAACAACAATGCATTCAAGGCACAGATCAAACCCCATCTTCAAATCAAGTTTGCCTGATCCTCCCAGACAGATATAATCTACCCATTTTGAAATCAAACAGATGGGGGATGTGGTTATGCCTCAGTGGTAGAGTACCTGCCTAGTAAGTGTGAGGCACTGGGTTTGAGTCTTAGTACCACATAAAAATAAAGGTTTAAAAAAAAAAAAAAAGAAATCAAGCAGATGTAGAACTGAAACCTAGGTGTCAGTATTTGTACAGCCTTAGAAACATTGCTTAATATCTCTAAGCTTCAGTTCTTCCACCTATATAATAAGAATAGCATCTATATCATAATCTTCCTATAATCAGAGGCCTTATAGTGGTTAAGTATGTAGGCCCTTGAAGTCAAATTGCCAGGAACTGACTCCAAACTCTATTTCATGTTGGTATATGACTCTAGATAAACCCCTTAACCTCTGTGCCCCAGTTTTCTCACCTCTAAAAAAGAATAGTATCTACATATCATTGGATCAGGAGGCTGTAAAGAATAAATGAATATAAATATAAGCTTAAAGGCTGGCCCCACAGAGAGAACAAGATAACATATTTATTATTACAGCTTTATTAGTGTTAGGATTATAAGAATCAACAAGTAATTGACACAGGCATTTTATAAAATGTCTAGCACATAATAATCACTCAAACAACTTGAAATGTTTTCCCTCTATTCTTTTTTCCCTTAAATCTAAAGACAACCTGGTGCTTTGACACAAACCTCAGGAGTCTGAGACCAGAGAATCACAAATTCAAAGCCAGTCCCAGCAACTTGGCAAGGCCCTAAGCAATTTAGCAAGACCCTTGTCAAAATAAAAATATAAAGGGGTGAGGGGATGTGGCTCAGCAGTTAAAGCA